CAGGAAAAGTGTAAGCCAATTTTGAAAAGCATAAACTACAAAGAGAAGCAGGAGATAAGACTTTATTTTTTACCAAAACCGGTCCTCAACCGGTTCCCAGCAGCAAGCCGTCTCATCCATTTCTCTTGTGATGTGGTGGTACGGTGATGAGCTGGTTCCATTGAATGAGTTGTGGGATGATTCTGAGACGCCCCCGTACACGGAAGCTCGGCGGGAAGGGCAGCAGCCGCACTCGTAAAGGCGTTTAATACTAGAAAAGCCAAGATCGGTGACAGGTCCAGGGTCCCACCGAGCGGCGGGATGATTCCCCGGAATACATTCAAATAGGGATCACACAATGTGCTGAAAGAAACCATCAACATTGTTATGAAAGAAAAAAACATTAAATGTTGTTATGATCTAAGAATATCACATTGAAGATTTGGGAGAGATCGATGGGGTAATAATAAATAGAGCTAGGTTCTTTTGACACCCAGCATGAGTGTCATAATATGACACCGGGTGACTTGAGGGTCCTACTGTTTTCCCATCGAAATTATTTTTTTGTTGTGACTGCACTAAGGCTATGTTCCGTTCGCCTGATCTGATCTGATTTTTTGAAGATCTGGTCTGATCTGATTGCCGTTATAATTAAAGTTGTTTCTGATCTGGTCTGATCTAATCTGATTATAATAAGAATAAGTAATAAGCAAAAAAATAAGTTGAACGGAACGCTGCCTTAGAACATAAAACTTTCAATTTGCCTATGATGGTGGCAAAGATCAAGCCACAAATAGTTCAATTCAGATAAGGTTGATGAATTATGAATATTAAATGGAAGTTAACAAAGAAATTCATGATTAACAAGATATCTGCACTTTTTCAAACTCTTTTAAAATCAATTGGAACACAATGGAGAGCTTTCAATACAGTGAAGGTTGAAATTCTCCAAGAAGAAATGCTCAGTATAAAATTTAGTTTCAAGAAGGTTTAAAAAAAAAAGAAAAAGAAATGTTAAGAATAACTTACCTGAGGGGAGTGACAATGGCAGGGGGAACATTAGGGAACCAAGTTAAAACAAGCCTGACTACAAGCAATGAGTTGTAGATGTTCAAGAAGTTCAAAACTCCATTGGTGACCACAACTCCTGCCACTGAATCTCCGGGTAAAATGGCTGCGAAATTGTGGCCAGTGGATATAACTTTGACGTTCTTACAACCTTTGCTGCGTTGAATCTGGAAGCCAATGACATTCAAAATATGTTAATGGGGTGTTAGCGTTATCCCACGTTAGGGTAAATATGAACGAAAGAATCCCTTTTTAATTACTCCGTATGCGATAAAACGTTACTTCTTGAGAGCTCTTTAGGGGTGAGTTAGGCCTCACACTTATCCTTAACATGGTATATATTATGGACAATATGGTAGTACGTAGTAGTCAAATAGGTGCATGGGGAAATACGAGGGCGGAAAACAAGGTCGAACTGTGTGATTTGAGTTTCGCTTAATTTTTGAGATGCTTTAATATAAGTAATTCAGGTTATGAAAAGTTATATGAAATGTAAAAAAAAGAAAAAAAAGGTTAAGAGAAATCTTTAAAGAAAATAAAAGATAGAAAGTGAGTTTGGAAAATAAGGAGTTCATAGGTCAATAAAATGAGAAAGATGGAGAAAGAGAGGTATAGGATATAAGAACACATAAACAAAAAATAGATTATGGCCTTGTTTGGGAACATCGTTTTTATTAGCATTATAGCGTTTTGGATAAAAAAAAATTATGGCATAGATTAACTTTGGAAAAGCTAAAGTTAAACAATGTCGCTAGATAGTGTTTTCAAAATGTTAACTCTGACCTCTAACAGTATTATCAAAGCGGTCCTATATTTTGCATGATGAAAAAGACCATACGAAAGCTCAAAATGGAAAAATATGAAACTTACGACACACCCTCCATACACTATTGACCTCCTGATATCGTATCGTTGTTTGTAGAAACAACCACTTTACTCTTTGCACTAGAGGTATGGATGCGTACATATTGCACCCTACTCTTGGGTAGAAAATGTTTGGTAAATAAGCTCTCATGGCAATACAACGTTACTTGGAAATCTCTCTACTTTCAAGTAGGGGTAGGGTCAACGTACTCACACCCTCCCAAGACCCTACTTTTGCAGGATTCTATTGGGTTGTTGTTGGCAATACAACGTTACTTTTTTAAAAACTAAGCCATGTTACGGAGTAGTTAGAAATGGCATTCAAAGACTAAATTTTTATTAGATTCTTAGCCAAGCTAAGCTACCAAATCAAAAACTTAATTAGTCAAGTACTCTGTGTATCATTTGCCGTTAGCTCACATGATATATTTCCTACCATGAACCAAGACCTACTCTCTACTCCCATGTAAGGGTAATGTTTGAGTACACACCCTCTCCAAATCCCTACTTTTTAAGGGATTTTACTGGATTCGTTGTAACCAAAAGCTACAATATATCTCCATTAAGGGATACGAAATATGTATCAAGTCTGATATAAAAACTATTGCATCCCTTCACAAAGACTTCATGTATACTATCAATAACACAAGAGCTTGATCAAGAGAAAGATATCCCATGGTGTTTTTCTCAAACTTTGAAAGGCTTTCATGTTGAGCATATAAACAGCAAGGTGGGCAGCTATTTAGGCTCTACCATTTACAGACTGAATCTTTGCAAATAGACACTAAGGCTCTGTATGGTACACAAAATTCAAACTATGGAATTGGAATTGGGGACAACAATTCTAATTCTGTTGTATGGTAGCATAAAAATATGTAGATTTGGAATTGGTAGTGCCAAAAATGAATTGGAATTGGAAAATTCAATTCCATCCAAATCAATTCCATGGAATTTCAACTCTCAATTCAATTCCAATTCCGTCAATTCCGCGTACCAAACGGACCCTAATTTCCTCCTCTCCCTTGGCATACAAATATTTGTTCCACTGGAATTCTTGAACTTGTTTTAAAATGTTTATTGTCCAATAAGGGCAACAAGAACACCAACAATATCAACAAATTTAGTATAATTCCAATTCTCAGAGAGGTTGTTTATGTTCATGCATTTACTACCAAAAGCTTTCAAGAAAGTAATAAGTATGGAAGTTTAATGTGTGTTTTTGATTTAGTCTATTATCTGCCCGAAGCTAAAACATTGAGGCTCGCATTATTTGACATTTTTAAAATTTGTTTTTTTAAAAGATATAAAAATGCATTTTTATAATAGAAATTTTGCATTGTTGATCTGTTGATCATACAAAATCAAATTTATCTTCAATTTTAAAACAAAATCACTCGAAGGCGTTTTTACAGAGCATTTTTTCCCATTTGGCAGAGGTAATTGATGATTACCTGTCTGAGCCCTTGGAGACGAGAAGAGAGAAAAAGCAGCTTGTTGATAAATGGGTGGTGGGAAAATAGGAAATGGAGAGATTTGAGACAGCCGTGGGCGGCGGAGGCGGCGGAGCTCTGGAACTGACGCGATGAGTCCTCCGCCGCTTTTAGCAGGGGAACAGCGCTTGGTTTGGAGTTTTGTTGCCTGAAGAGGTGGAGGAAGAACGGCGGCGCGTGGAAAGGTAAAGAGATAATGCAATTCGAGGGCGCCGGATTTTGCTTCTCTTGTGGATCCATTGATGGATGATTTTTTGTAGCTTATGTTTCTGTTCCGCTCTCTGCTTCTTTAATGGATTCCACTTGGGTTGAAGATAAGGAGAGTGAGTGAGATTTGTATGGAGTGTGAGATAACTTAATTACTACTTTGAGCTTATTTACCAAGAAGATATGAGAAACAACAATTTTAAATTTCACTCTCTAATTTAAAAAAGAGGACGTCTAAAATGACACCAGTTACTTACACCAGTTTGTTTGGGGTACCTATGGTGCTCCGTTTGTAAAAATGACGGTTCCTACCCCCCTAAACCCCACACCCCAGCCCCACCCTTGCCCCCCACCCCAGCCCCCCAGCCCCCCCTCCCGCCCCCCTCCCTACCCTGGCAGTGTACTGCCGGGGTAGGGAGGGGGGCGGGAGGGGGGCTGGGGTNGTTGGGGTGTGGGGTTTAGGGGGAGAGTTAGGGGGGTAGGAATCGTCGTTTTTACAAACGGAGCACCGTAAGTACTCTAAACAAACTGGTGTAAGCAAATGACACCAGTAGCAATGGTGTCATTTTAGACTTACCGTTTAAAAAAAAGGTGCAAAGCTCGAGCAAAACAAATCCCGCATACACGTAAAGAGATGATGTTAAAGTATAAAACATATCATAGGTTACAATTTTTAATTGATCATGTTCCTTGGAATGGGGTAAATTTTAACCTTTCATTTCACATATTGAAAAAAAAAGTTTAAAAAGAAAAAAAATATTTAGTAAAAAAAATGTTTGGTTGATTTATAAGAGGGTTGTCCAAGTTTTAATGTCTGGAGTTAATGTCACCCAAGTTTGAGCCGCACCCAATTGACGGATTGAGCCGCACCTAATTTCTGGTGCGGCTCAAACTTGGGTGACATTAACTCCAGAAGTAGAGGCATGACTCTTTGTGTTTTATCAGTATAAGAAAACTGCGAACAAATACTACATTATAATCGAGTCAATAACATTCGAAGAAAATTAGGAATTTAAAAATAGATAGAGGAAATTGATTAATTGACAGAGAGGAATAATTTACAATTTTTTTTTTGAAGCAAAGGGAATAAAATTATATTAATGAAATGAAATGAGGAATAATTTACAATTTTATTAGGAGACTGAATTAGACAATTAGGGTGATTGCGTGTTTCAACTGTACTCTAATGGTGTAATTTTATAAACGATAATTACTTGTTCCAATTACATTTTGAAAATGAAAACATGTTAAATCACATTTTAATTATAATCTATTTTTAGACACATACTTGCATCATAACTCTACTTTGTCCATCAAATGTTCCTGGTAATCACAGAGTTATGCAAGTGCGACATTAGTAATTACACAACCTAGAATTTACACACTACTATCCCAATAGTCTTGAAAAGCTTACTTTCTCTAATGTCCTTTGAGAGAGAGAAAAAAGTGAATGCTTCACAACTTGTTTAAAGAAATTTTGAATACAAAGATGTCCATAACACGGAGTACATGTTTAAAAGATCAATAATGATAGGGTACCCCATATAGTATACCTCATTTGTATACCAAAACTTTTACAAACGCACAGAGACTCAATATTTGTTCATGCACAGACATTGAAAGTTTGACCTGTGTCTGTTTGTAAAAGCCTTGGTGTACAAATGGAGTATACCATTTGGTGTACCCCTAATATGACCTTAAAAGATTTGGAGCCCTATAAATTTAGGGACTCTAGGGGCATGCCTTTTTCAGCTAGGCCTAGAGATGGCTCTTTAGATGCTAATGTGTGCTTAGAAGTGCCTCTTTCAATAGTAAAATTGCAATATAATCGGCCTCAAGAACATGACATTATCTTCTCGTCTGTATGAACCAAAACAGCCCCAGAAGCATTTGCCATTAAAAACCGTAGAGGGAATATGAGATACCGCGACTGCACAGAAAATGCTCTCGATTCATCTTCTGTCTTCTTGATAAGGCCCTTCACTTTCTCGGTCCTTTAAAAGTCCCAACAATGCAAGAAAGCCAAAGAAGAAGAACCCGCCCGACCAATTGCCTCCGCCCCCACCACCACCACCGCCTCCGTCATCATCACGGGGCGGAAATCCTGCCCCACCATCGTCAAGCTCTGGAGATTTCTCCTTTCCTGGATAAAGTTTAACACTTGAGAGACTTTTCTTTTTTCAATAATAGCACCTTTCTGGAAAAGAAAATAGGTGGTAACTAATTAAAAACATGTGAAAGACTGACCTTGACTAGGCGCAACTGTAATGGTTGATGACTGACGGGTAACGGTTTGGGTTTGCCCTTCGGCAGCACATCTTGCATTCTGAAGAAGAGTTCAGGTAGTTAACAGCAAAAAGGCAACAGCAATAAGCTCGGTAAAATGTTACTATTTGTAACGGGGATGTAAAGTTTGAGCGTTTACGGCCTCTAGCAAGGGAACAAAGAAATGAGTTTGCTGAGATGAGAAATAAGTTAGTACGGAGTAAATGATTTTCTGATAATTTTATTAATGAAGACTCTTAATGTATCTATAGAGATCTAAAGACCCTATGTGGTTCGACTTTCTTTTTAACATCTGGGAAAGAACCATTAGAAAACCCGGCAAGGAGCTTAGAATTATGCTATTTAATTTAAAGCCATTAAAATTCAAATAATTAAACTAATACAGAGTACAAATTATAATCATCCTGCCACACGAGTTTTCAGCTCATGTCGACTTCTAAATGTGAGCCTTTCAACTGCTCCGCCTTCTTCTTCTGGCTTTCCCAACAAGTTATCTTTCACAATACGATGATCCCCACTTACACCCTCAACTGACTCAACCAGCTCACATAATCCCCACCAATATCCATAACAAAAAATTCCACAAAAAGTAGGGCCTATCCTTACTCGGAAGTATGGAGGCTACTTGACAAGATTATTCATCACTGAACAGTAGGTTCCACTTTTTACTCTCAACAAACTCGGTTGAAAACAATTAACCTCCAACCCCGAACTTTAGGCCTTTGTTGGTTTGAATAGTAAAATGAAATACGAAACAAGGAGAAACGGTAATTTTCTCATGTATGGTTTGTAATAAAGAGAGAGAGAGAGAGAAAGAGAGTGTGTGTGTGTACATCCCACAAATTTAAACTCTCTCCTCTCATGGGAGAAAGAGCGTAGGGATAAATGAAAGACTGATCTTGACTAGCATCAAATAAGTGCCATATTAAGCATACAACGGAGTATAACAGAAAAACATGAGGGCTAAAGTGCTGAGAAACCAACAAGGTACTTTTGTACATACAGAACAGCGCATTAGAGAAAATAAATTACCAGAACAGCTGAAGAAAATATGGAAGAACGTCTCCCCTGCGAAGAATGTCTTCTACCTTCACTGAGTAGTAGTTTTGCATGAAAAGGCTTTAGTCCAAGTGGAATAAAAGGAAAATGCTTGATGTGTTGTTTACAACATTGATTTCCTGCAAGCAAATTCTTATAAAATATTAAGAGGTTATAGCTAGATAGGGAGACCAATATTTTCTACTCCATAATAAACTAGAGGTTCTTCTTAGACAAAGTGTTCTTATACGGAGACTGTACTGTAAATAAAAGGAGCTCTACTGTAACTAAATCAATCAATTGACCGGCAGTCCTTTCTCCATATCAACTCTAGAACATGAAACATGACACAAAATGAAAGGATAAATGAAAAGATGCAGCTCATGAAGCAGGCCTTCTTAATCTCATGCAGTGAATAATAAGCCTGGAAAATAAGCTAGTGATATGCCAAAGGACACGACTCATTACTGTTTAGAAAACACCAAAGTATTACAATGCCATAATTATGAATGATCGTGATGAATTACTATTGGTTATGAGTAGTATGTGTGTGTTCAGGATATCATGGTGGCGAACTTTGACACGTATAAAACTCTCTAATGTTTTGTACAGCAAATCCTTATTCAAATTTTCTTTATATTGAACTCCCGAGAATATAATTCATTTCTAGCATATTGCCTTTCATAAAAAAACGTTGTAGTTCAGTAGTGCACAGTGAGCGGCTATAAAATAATTATCAACATGCCATTGGCTACAAGAGATAATACTCAACATACCTGTTGGAATTATAGCAGGACTTACAACAGCGCTAGCAGCCAATGACATTTCTAGCCTATACCTCCTGAAATTATCAGAATAAATAGATATTGAGGAAACCCATTTTATCTGCTAAAACTGAATTACGGAAAATTATATTATACATCCGGTTGTACCAATTTTGGGTACAACCAATAAATTATTTATGGTATGAATTTTATTTTACATAAGAATGAACACCAAGTTATTTGAGAATGAGTACTGTTTTGTTTCAAAATGAACACTACATTATTTGTAGATGAATATTATAATTATATTGAACCAATGTGTGAAAATGAGTACTGCATTGTTTTAGAATGAGTATCACGCTAATTATACTACCCGAATGTACCGTACATCCGGTTGTACCATATACCTTCTCCTGAATTACGGAACACTAAAAGAAGTCGGGTAAAGAAGCACAAATCCTGAATTCTTAGTATCTTTCACATGTTTACAATTTGCTTCTATTTTTAGATTTTTCGTGCTTTATACATAGCGCGGGCAGTTGGAAGTGGGTGTTGTGCAGAATGCCAGAATCCAACAATAGCAATAAACACAATATCGCATATTTCTTATGTATAAAAGACAATACAAAAAATTAAACTTTTTGCAGTTTATCCCCCAACCAAAGAGTGAAGTGTTTAATCAATATCGCATATTTCTTCATGTATAGTAGATGATAGTACAAATTAAATTAGAATATACGCTTCGTATATCTAAGGACAATGGAACTCCTGGTTTTTTCATTTAAAAAAAAGACGGATAATTTTTAAAAAATAAAAAAATGCATAAAATCGCAAAATCAGAAGAAAAACAAAATTACAATGAGAAAACGTAGCAGGAAAGTGAAATTAAGACATGTAGAGAGCGTTTCATACACATCTTCAAAACTATAGAGCTATTAGATGATCTTTAGATTAGAGTTTCAGGTGTGGACTCTTCGAGCACAGATCTCATTAAAGTTTACAGCAACAAAAAAAATCTATAATTGAGTTTCGAATCTTTATAGTTCGAACAAAGACCGGAATACCTGTTCGAATTGGATTAGATTGGAGCGAAGAAGAACGGAATACCTGAGAATTGTGGACGGGAAGCTTGTGGAAGATGACGACGATATGAGATTGTTCTGAAACTTAGAAAGAAATAGAATTGGGCTTCAGTCCAAATGTTCACATTTGAAGGTTACTCTTATATGAACCGGCCCAGTTTTATTTAGTAGAACCCACCAGTTTTTTTTTCAATTTCATTTGGTACACCAAAAACAAAAAAAAACTAATCCCAGTCACTAATTGTCATATTTTCTTTTTTTTCTTTTGGGAATTTACTCCGTATTTAATAAAGTGAGAATATGTAGTTTATAATTTTTCTTTCTTTTTTTAAATAATTTTTAATGACTTACTTTTCATTATTTTTAAACTCTGTGAAATCAAAGTAAAATGTTTAATTTGAGATGGAAGGAGTAAATAAACTCCATCATTGTTTTTTAGAGGCTTAGATCACATTTGGAAAGATCGTTTGTGACTAGTGTTAATATTTTAGATAATGTTTAATGTTGTATATATTCAAAAATATAAACTAAATGCTAAACTAATTAAATTTTAATCACTTTTTTAACCTATTATCGTTAGTTATTTCATAAAATAATAAGTCTTGTAACCTCTTGTTTTATACTTTTGATGTAGTTTTTAGACTTATAAATTTTATTTTTAAATTTTACACCTACAATCAAATAAATCGAATTAAAGATAAAATTAGTCAAACCTCATAAACAGAGACGAGAAGAACGTTTTAGGAAGGAGGGTATTTAATTTACAAAGTTTGAAAATTTAGAAAAATAAAAAGTGAATCATTTAAATCGAATTAAATAAAGTGAAAGATTTCGAGACACATTTTTCATTCTTGAATGAGAAAAAAATGTAATGTTTATCTTGAGAACACCAAAAAGAAATACTTAGTATGTCTAACTTATTTGTGAATTTAACGTGGGTATTGTCACTGCCAACTCCAAAAGGTCATTCTTGCAAAATCAAATATACTTTCTTTTATCGAAATTAAACGAGAGACGATCGATAAATTAAGTTTTAGTCCATGATATCTCAATCTGATCGATAGCTTAAAATTAAATCTCTAATATTTGCAGAGATCTAATATTTTACACTTCATACCATCGAATTGATTTATGTTTCCTTGTGAGTTGTGACAATGAAATATCTTTTTGCACTAATATAATTGTGCCAAGGCCCATCCTTGGAATGGAGGAGAAGTAGGTGCCATCATCATTTCCCCATTCAAAACTTAGCTTTTAAATTTGACCTAACTATATGCTTTGGCTAGGTAGAGAGCTTAGAGGAACATGGTGCACCACTGTTCAAAGCTAAGTTTGGCAAAACACAAAAGGTGGATGGAGAATGGTAAAAAGCCTTTTCTCCTATTTCTTCATTTTAACACCCCCCCTTTGGTGGCCCATATTCCTTGCCCATTATAGCTTCCCATTCATTTCCTCTTTCATATTGATTGTCACATTCCACTTCAATTCTAGACAAACAAATCCAAGAATTCAATTGCCTCTTGCCCCAAGCTAAGTAGGTGTCCAGTCCTCCTCCTAGCGTGAGTGGAGAGCATGGATTGCTCCGGTACCTCTCCTATGCCACTAGGGATGAACAAGTACTGAATCAATACCAAAAAATTCTGAAAAATTTGAGAAAGTTGAACTGAAAAATATCAAATCGAAAAAATACCGCTAAAATACCGAACCGAATATTCAGTTTGGCATTTGGGAACGGTACGAGATAACTTTTCATACTGAAAATCCTGACCCGAATATTTGCACTAATATATTATAAATATAATAATATTTTTATAATTTTTTTTGAATAATACGTTTACTTTATTTTTAAAAATTGGCTCAAATTTTATATGTGTAAATTGTACTTTTATTTGAGTTTTAATTTATTGTGGAATATTTTAAAAATATAAAAACTCATTGGAAATATCATTTTGTTATCATCCATTCACTGCAGTTGTGAGATATAGACTAAGCTTAACAAGCATTTCTTGCATTTAAGTTTTCATTTTTTGTTTTTTATGTTTTTTTGTTTAAATATGCTTTTGATTTATAAAAATAAATATTTTTGTGACATTTTGAAGTTTAAATTAGGTGTGTATGTTTTCATCTCGTTTTATTCCGAAACCGAAGCATCTCGAACTTTACCGAACCAAAATTTTGGGATTAGGATTGATGCAACGTAAAATCCTATACTATACTGAAATTGCCTAATAGCTCTGGTGCCCCCTGTGGTTTGGAAAATTGACACCAATACCTTCTCTGTTTTCAAAAATTATTTCTAAAATCCTTTTGGTTTCAAAACGTTGCACCCACACCTTCTCCGATTATTTTCCGGCCATTTTCCAGCGAAAAGGGGCATTGGCGCATAATTTCTAAACCATAGGGGGCACTCGTGCTCATTTCTTATTTTTCGTTTATTATTTGTGTTTTTCCTTCTTTTTCCTTTTCCTATATTTTTTTCAAAATTTCTTTTCAATTTTTTATAATGTTTTAAAAAATTTTAAAATTCTTTTTGTTTGAAATAATAATAAAAATTTAACATACATTACATCTATCTCAAATTAAACATTTTCACTTTTTGTTACATAGAATAATTTTTTGGGAAGTTCAAAAAGAAAACCCAAAATAAAAATACGGGAAAACGAAATGAAAAAATTAAAATACGAAAAAAGAGTCTTCTACAAAAAACAATTTTGGAACACGCCTAAAAAAATCCTTAAAATTGAGATGTTCAAAAAGGATAATCATTTTTATTTTTGTATTATTTTGTTTCTTATTTTATTCCTCATTTTTTATAAGTTCTCAAAAAATTACCTTATTTTTGGAAAAAACAAAAATTGTTAATTTGAGACGTGCCAATGCATTATATGTTAATTTTTTCAAAGAAAAATAACTTTAAATTTTAAGAACATTATAAAAGTAATTGTAAAATAACCTTTATTAATAAATGAAACAAATAAAGGAAAAAATAGGAAAAAAATAAAAAATAAGAGAGAAATAAAAAATCAGCACTGGTACCCCCTATGGTTTAAAAAATATGCACCAATGCCCCCCTTCTTTGCCGTAAGAATGACCGGAAAATGATCAGAGAGGGCACGAGTGCAGCATTTTGAGACCACAAGGACTTTAAAAATAAGTTTTGAAAATGTGGTACCAAGCTCACCTTTATATGCAACCATTCACGATATGACACATAATTCATCTTGTTATGTGTATTTATTCCGATTAGGCTCAGGTCACCCGTAAAAATCGGTCCGTAGTTGTGCACTACAAGGGTACCAAAAGGAGCAACACCCCAACCCAACCTCGCCACACTCCACTCACAAAGAAACGGAGAAGAACTGAGATGAACTCACAGAGGAAGAGAAATATCACACAAAGAACTCACAAAGAGAAGGAATATTTTTCACGGTGAAGAAACACAAAGGGGAAGCCTCAATTTATAGTAGAGATTTAGGAGCTAATTAAGGTAAGCTTAATTAGGTTAGGAATAAAGGTTGGGCTTGAGTAAATGGGCTGCTGGGTTGGGTGTCAAATATTATTAATATGTTTGGGCCAACCCAAATAAATTAACAATCTCCACCTTTGGCCCAAAGTAGTGCACATAGTTTGACAAGGAACCGCGGGACTCATCATAGCCTTATAACCACTAAATGTGTAATCAACAAATGAGAACACACGTAGTGGTGGAGAGTTCACTAAGTACTCTCAAGTCACAAAGACTGGGCAACATCATAAAGCATGCCAAAAATAACTCACGAAGAGTCGAACTCTACCATTGGGTCATCGAGTTCAAAAACAAAAAAAAAAGCAAAAAAGGTCACAAAGACAAGAAAGAACAAAAGATCAATGCACAATCACAGAGATAGGTTTAAAATCTTTTGACATAAGGTAAATTTTTCAACAGGTAAACACTTAGTACCCATGTCAGCTGGATTAGACTCCGTAGGAATTTTCTCCATCATGACAATGCCCTTTTCAACTATGTCTCTAATAAAATGAAACATAACATCAATATGTTTTGTTCTATCATGAAAAACAGGATTTTTGCATAGTTGAATGGTAGATTGACTATCAGAAAAAACAACCACATTCTTATCGAACAAGCATATTTCAGATAAAAGACCTTTAAGCCAAATGGCTTCTTTAAAAGCATCTGTGGCTGCAACATACTCAGCCTCAGTAGTAGATAAAGCAACAATGTGTTGAAGTTGAGATTTCCAACTAATGCAAGAACCACACAAACTGAACACGTAGGAAGTAGTAGATTTTCTATTATCCCTATCGTTTGCATAGTTTGAATCCACATAGCCAATTAATCTAACACTTTTATCACTTCTTGAAAAAGTTAAACCAACATTCCTAGTAGATTTCAAGTATCTCAAAAGCCATTTTAAAGCATTCCAATGAGCCATACGAGGATTAGACATGTATCTACTCAAACAACTAACAACATATGCAATATCAGGCCTAGTGCTAATCATAAGATACATCACAGAACCAATAGCATTCGAATAAGGCACACTTTTCATTTCATTAATTTCAGCTTTAGTTTTAGGGCACATATCCTTACTCAACACAAAGTGAGCAGCTAAAGGAACATCCACAGGTTTAGCATCAGACATAGCAAATTTACTCAAAATCTTATCAATGTAGGAATTTTGATTTAAAACAAGAGTTGATTTCTTTCTGTCCCTAACAATATTCATGCCAAGTATTTTTCTAGCATCTCCTAAATCTTTCATGTCAAAATTTTTGCAAAGATAATTTTGAACATGCTCAATAGATTTTAAGCTAGGATTAATGATTAGCATATCATCCACATAAAGGAGAAAAAAATAGGAACAGAGAAAGTGTTCTTGAAGTACAAGCAGTGATCAGCATTACTTCTCTTAAAACCAAAGTTTTTCATGCAATTATCAAATTCAATGTTCCATTGCTTAGGTGATTGTTTTAAACCATACAAAGCCTTTTTCAACAAGCACACATGATTAGGCAACTTAGGATCAACAAATCCTTCAGGTTGGTGCATATAAATATTTTTATCAAGATCACCATGTAAGAAAGCAGTAGTCACATCCATTTGTTTTAATTCCCAATTATACTGAGCAACTAAAGACAACATGATTCTAATTGTGGTGAACTTGACAACAGGATAAAAAATTTCTACATAATCTATTCCCTCCTTTTGAGTAAATCCCTTAGCCACAAGTCTAGCCTTAAACCTAACATTTTCAGGTTCTTGCTTAATTTTAAACAACCACTTACAGTCCACAAGAGAACAATTTTCAGGTTTTGGCACAAGTTTCCACGTTTGGTTAACACGAAGAGATTCCATCTCACACTTCATAGCACTAACCCATTTTTCAGAACATTTAGATTCTAATGCTTCACGATAAGTCTTAGGTTCATCACACTCAAGGGATTCAAACACATGAAAAGCAAACTCAGACATATTACAGTCATCAACATATCTCGCAGGTTTGCTAATGGTTCTTCTATTTCTATCCCTAGCAAGTTGATAGTCATGCAAATAATTTTCAACATGTGATTCTACATTATCATGCTCCACCTCATTAGAAATAGTCTCATCTTCATTAGTGTGTGAATCATGGTTCATATCAACATGTTCATTAGTTTCTACATGCACATCAGTAGGAATGATAACAGGCAATTGCTCCACCTCATTTGGGGCCACATTTTCAACATTGGGAATAGGCAAGGACAAACAAGGAAAATTATTTTCATTGAAAACAACATTTCTACTTATCACAATTTTGAAACCCGGTTCACCTTTTACCCACAACCTATAACCCTTTACCCCGTCAGGATACCCCAAGAAAACACATAGTTTAGATCTTGGTTCAAGTTTATCATTCATTTGATGCACATAACCAGCACAACCAAACACACGCAGGTTTGATAAATCTAAGGGTTTACCCGAGAAAGCAACTTCTGGGCAATTCTCTCCTAAAGGTATAGATGGAGACCTATTGATCAAATAAGCAGCAGTGCAAACAGCTTCACCCCAAAATTTTTTAGAAAGTCCAGAAGTAGCTAACATAGCCCTCACCCTCTCTAAAATAGTTCTGTTCATCCTCTCAGCTACCCCATTTTGTTGAGGCGTGTAAGGAACAGTTTTGTGTCTTTTAATACCCCAAGTAACACACAAATTATCAAGTTGTTTGTTGCAAAATTCAAGGCCATTATCTGTCCTAAGTGTTTTTATTTTCTTTCCAGTTTGGTTCTCAATCAA